GGAGATAAGGGCTGCCCTAAGGAAGTGCAGAGATTCAAGCGAGGCACTGGAACTAAATGTGAGATAAATGGAGTACTGCGGCTGTAAATGTACTAATTCAACATGTTTGAAGTTGAGTTGCTGATGTGAAGCTTACACCAAATTTTCTCCATTGCCAATGAATCCTTAAAACTGTTTTGGTCCATGCACTAAAAATGATACAAGACCGACTCTCTTAAAAGCTCAGTACTGCCATATTTTAGATCTGCAAATTCAGTGCAGAAGTTTTCGCTGTCTTGAATATGTATAGAGCTCCTCAGTGCTCACTGTCATATCTTCGATGGGATTTTGAAACTATGGAGTAAAGCAAATGATTGCTTTAATTTCTCTTACGATAATCATTAAGTGCTTAGATGAATGAAAAAGATTTTGTGTCGTGTATCATATGTTTCTGCATTTCTTTCTTTTCTTCTAATTCCTGTTACGCATATGGAGAGCTTTAGGGTCAGACTTTCAGCTGTGGATTAATGGGAAAAATCATCAAGATTAATTGATTTTTGCACCGACTTTAGATGACCTATGTTGATATTCATGAAAATACTAGTTTCGCAACATGATCTAACTTGTTTTATTGGTGATCTTAGTAGATCCCCTGATAATTGTGTAGCTCGTAAATAAGATGATTTGTATTGTACTGTTCTTGACGCTTATATGGGAGTAGGGTATATCGTAAGTTACCCGTATTCAACGGGTTAAAATTCAAATTGATTATTGGTCGAATTTAAATATTTTGATTTGAGTTAATCTGTAACATGATTAAATTTCTATTTTAAAAACTTTAATTTGATTTCAAAGATTTAGAACTTATATTTTACTTGGTGTCTAGTTTTCATTGAGCATTCATTACTTTTTTTTTTCTGAACTTGAAAAATAAAAATCGATCTACTTGAGTCAAATCCTTTTGTGGGTTTTTCTTTTCTTTTTTTTAACCTTTTTCACGTTTGAGTCCGAAGCATAGAGCAAAGGGATGCATGAATGAAGGACATTCTTGAAAGTGCGTTCAGATGTAGTAGGGGCTCCCACGTATTAAGAAACGCATTCTCATTTGTCATTTATAAATGTGTCCTCCTTTGGAACCCTCAACCCTGGGACGTTATCCTCCAAACACGTCATTCCCAGTTGATATTTATCCCTCCCCAAAATCCAAAAACTCACTATTTGACCCTGAGTTTGTTTACGGACTAGAATGAATCTGGGACAAGTGTGGCTATCACAGATGCCAATGAGCTTTGCTGTCGACGCGTGCAAACTAGGTTTCCATGCCGTGTATCATCTCAAACCCATCTTAAGACACGTTCTATAATGCTTAATTACACCCCCGCCCCCACCATATCAGCTCTTAATTCTACCTCTTTCTATCGTATAAATATTCAGATAGTGTGCTTATCAATTACTACTTTTGTTGTTATATTTCCTGCCCTGGACCCTGGTTCTTTTTGGAACAATGTCGGCTTCAGTCATGGATGGCTCCGAAGAAAGAAAACAAGTGAAGAAAGTAGCTGCACAAGCGAGCTCGAGAAAAGGCTGCATGAGAGGGAAAGGAGGTCCGGAGAATGCTCTTTGCACTTACAAAGGCGTAAGGCAAAGAACTTGGGGCAAATGGGTGGCTGAAATTCGTGAACCCACCCGTGGTGGTCGTCTTTGGCTTGGAACTTTTGACACCGCTCTTGAAGCCGCAATCACTTACGATGCTGCTGCACGTAAACTCTACGGCTCGGATGCCAAGCTCAACTTGCCACAATTAACTCTTAACCCTCACCATCCACCACCCAATTCTCAGGTCGGCCCAATAGGGAACCGACCTCTAAACTCCGCTACGAGTTCATCAAACAGCCCGATTATTATCAGCGTCAATGATGCAACTCCGTTGAACAATAATGATTCAGTTGACGTGTGTTTCCCCAACGACAACATTGCTTCTCCAGGGAATATGGCGGAGAACAATGCCAAATTTGGGGAGAGTGAAGATGAAAGCGGTGGGGTTTGGGAAAATATGAGTGTGAACTTGCCTCTTTTAGATGACTCCATTTGGGCAGAAGCTGCTATGTCGTTAGATTTTGCAATGATTCCAGGCATTCTTGGTACAAACCTTGCCGATGCCACTGGCTGGGACTCCTTGCAATCCCCATGGTGCATGTAAAACTAAAAACTAGCTTTTAGCTACATGAAATGTCTATACACTTGCAGTTCATAATCACAGCCATGAAACCATGGTTTTTTTCTGGGTTTTTCATGGCACACTCTTTTTTAACAATCATGTATGTTCCTCCGAGTATCACTCACTATGTCGAAGTGCATATCCTAGAACAATTCGTTAGGCAACTTAGGACGTGGAAAATAGAACAATTCGTTAAGAAAAGGTCGCTTGCCGACTAAACCAACTGTGCAATCATATCTGCTAAGAGCCTACTTCAACAATGGTGGGCCATGCGCTTTTAGAAACCCAAATAGAAAAACTCATATTTTTAACTGACGTAACATTGAACCAAAAAGAAAAGATTTTGTTTTTTGTAAAATTAAAACAGGTCCAATATAGAAGAACCGAGTTTGACCCGATCAGGCAAGGATCCCGACAGAAAAGGAAATGCAGCCGTTTCGAGTGACTCATTCATTACCAGATTTGATCAAATAAACAACAAATCAACGCCAGTATCTAATAATTAATTCAGCTCGTGGCTCTTCAGTACAACTCCATTTGGAAGTTGCACGCTTTCTACAAATAAATAAAAAAACGGTTGTGCCTGTTGCCGGCGAGAAACCATCATCTGCCCCATAGCTTCAAGCACAAACTCAGTAAACAACAAAACAAACCGGTCAAACTACATATGACAAGAAGTACACAGTTGTTTAAGGTTTTTGTTTTCGGTAGGTAAATTGATCTCTTATTTATATTATAACTCATTTAAAATATCCTACCAGAAAGCAGAACCGAACCAAGAGTTTCAACATCGGAAACAATAGAACCTGGTGGCACCCCATTTGAGAAGTCCTTTATACAATAATCTATGGAAAATTTTGTTGAGGAGATGAAGCGGGATAATGAGAAGGTAATATTAATATATTGTATCACATAAGTGAGTGTAAATGCCACACAGATAAATTCATTTTGGTTAATGTTTTGTTTACAGTAGAGAATTGAATCACCAACCTCGTTGGTTAACAATGGATGCGTGGATATTAGAGGAAAAATTGCACATAAGCAAACCACTGGAGGATGGAAGGCATCTCCATTTATCATATGTATTTACTAAAACTCACTCCCATGGCAGTTTTTGATGCACTAGCATGGTACTGGTCACTGATTTATGGGTTTATTTTTGTTTTTCTTTCTTTGAATTCTAGTTAATGAGGTTGCCGAGAGATTGGCCTTCTTTGCAATAGCAGTGAACATGGTGGCTTATTTGGTTTCCGAAATGCACCAATCGCTTCCATCTGCTGCAACTCATGTGACTGATTGGATTGGAGATGCTTATGTTCTAACTCTAGTCGGAGCATTCCTTGCCGATGCTTATTTGGGTCGATTCTTGACCATCATCATCTTTTCTTACATATATGCAGTTGTAAGTTAGAATCTCCATTGGCAATTTCATATGCTAGCTTGCAACTGAATCTGCTGAGTGTTGGACCATGTAACCTTTTTTTCTTCTCAGGGAATGGTTTTGCTCGCCCTATCAGCCTCCATAGACAGCCTGCGACCGCCAAAATGCACGGTGAGGCCCTGCATAAAAGCAACCGACAACCAAGCAGGTTTCCTCTTTATTGCACTAGCTCTTATAGCTCTCGGAACCGGAGGTATGAAGCCATGCGTTTCATCCTTCGGAGCCGACCAGTTCAATGAAGCCAATGAAAAAGAAGCAGGAAAGAAATATTCATTTTTTAACTGGTTTTTTGCCATTAACATGGGCGCTATATTGGGTATCACACTTCTGGCATATATACAAGAGAAGAGAGGTTTCGGAATCCCAACTGTGGCTATTGTTTGCTCCATTATAATCCTAGCTGCTGGAATACCCTTATTTCGTTACAAGAAACCCATGGGAAGTCCTTTTACAAGGTTTCTTCAGGTTCTCGTGGCTTCTGCTAGGAACCATTTTAATGGAGCTCAATTAGAACGTGGAGCTGTTTTATACGAGGTTGATTCGATGGAGTCTGATATATCTTGTGTTCGAAAACTGGCTCGAACCAAACAGTAAAGGTTCTTGGACAAGGCAGCAATGGTGATGGACCCTGAAGCTAACAGTAAGAACCGATGGAGGCTTTGCACAATGACTCAAGTAGAAGAATTCAAGTCCTTCATTAGAATCCTTCCAGTTTGGTCATCGACGATAGCCCTTTCAATCTCATTTGCTCAACTCTCAACCTTCTTCATCAGCCAAGCCACCATCATGGACCGAAAACTCGGCCCTCACTTCACCACTCCAGCAGGTTCAGCCCCTGTTTTCAGCACCCTCAACGCCCTCATACTCGCCCCCATCTACGAAGTATGGTTGGTCCCAATCTTATGCAAATGCACCAGTCATCACCGTGGCATTACCTCGTTGCAGAGAATGGGTGTTGGCCTATTCATATCCATCTTTGCAATGGCCTCAGCTGCTTTAGTTGAGAAGAGACGTCGAAACCGCCATAATCCGTCGTCTTTGACGGTGTTTTGGCTGCTTCCACAGTTCTTCTTGATCGGCAGTGCTGAGATTTTCACTTATGTGGGACAATTGGGGTTCTTTTACGACGAAGTGACTGATGGAACAAGAGATAAATGTCAAAAGTGTTTGAAACATCTTTATCTAGAAGATGGTCATCGAATCTTTTCACGGCAAGATCCTCATCGTCTTAGTTGCGTGGGTCTAACAAGATGAATCAGTGGACAGTTGGAAGGTTTAAATTGTGTTTGAAACATGTTATATGTTTCCTTTTCCCAGATACGTAATGGAACTTCATATGCAAGAAACACATGCAAATTCAGGTAATACAAATACCGCATTCTCCTTCGAAATTTTATTATGATTTAGAGATACATAACAATGTGAACATCAATGTCAAAAGTTTCCTTCTTCCTAAACCTAAAGCTGGTTTTATCTATAAGGTTGTTTCTGACATGTCCCCATTAAATGAAGTAAATGCCATGAGAAAAAGAAAATTTAGTTTACAGTACAGCAATATCTGACCTATTCATCTGCAGTGTCCTCTGCAGATTTTGTATACTCCGGCTTAAGCTCGTAACTTCCTTGATTGGCACCTCTCTTATTGTACACGCAGAGCTCGTTCAATATTTCTTTCAGGAATTGCTGCAAAGAAAGTAAAGCAAAATCTTTCACACATAGAATAAATGTAACTGCTAAGAAACCACAAAACGACAATCTACATGATACTTTTATCAAGCTGAAAAATATAGCTGATTTGATCCCGCGAAGGGATTTTCCTTTTTCGTTTAACAAGCAAATTGAATTTCTACCATATGGATAGAATCACATATTACAGCAAAGAAAACACTCAAATCACTGTTATAACCCATAAGACATATCCAGCGGTATAGTGAAAGATATGTAAGAGGATTACAGCTGGTTGATCAGTCTCTTGCACAAGTTGCTTTAAAGTCCAATTCGGTTGTCTCTCAAACAGCTTGAACATTATATGTTCCAGTTCCCCTCGATCCCTTCGGGTTCTCTTCACCTCTGATTGTTTAACTGGCATTGGTTTCTTCTTATCCTGCTCGGAGCAATGGACAATAGGAGACGTGAATCTATAATTCCAACTCCAAACTAGTGTATGTTTAAGAGCAAAAAATAGTAAACATCAGTCTCTAGAGACCATGTATCAAAGTACCTTGGGGTTGGATGAAATCAGGCCAATCATTCCAGGCATTGGCCTCATAAGCACTCCACGATCATTATCAATAACCTACAAAATTCATAAAAAAACACTTAAGATGATTGGCATCATAGTAACATTGGAAGGGGAAAATGTTTGTTTCCCCCAATCCAATGCACACTCGTTGACCTACCTGTGTTTGCCTGTTCTTGATCATAGACTTATTTGTCCTTTCTCGACACAATCTCCCGTATTCCTCTATGTTTTCCGCATGCGGTTTCATGTCAAATTTATGCTCAACCTTTCCTTCCATTGCAACCGCACCTATAACAAAAGCAGAGCTCAAGTCACAACCTAAAGCATAGAACTTAAGAGAAACATTAAGAGTGTTCTTATAAGAAAATAAAATCATGGATTCAATTGGCACTTCAAGATAGTTTTGAACATAATACAATTACATGACTAAGAAACACAAAAACAACGGTATCCATGTTGTACGTAAAACACTGAAACATGACACAGATACAAGGTAGGTCAGAAAAAAGGAACAAATCTAAATAAAAAATAATTGAACAAGATAAAACACATAAACTTGAATGATTGAAAAGAACCATAACTCTGACCTTGACTTGTTTCAGAGAAGACAGACATAGGAACAAAGTCTTTGAACATGTTCAAACTGTAGCTTTTCGGTATGCTTTCTGTCTCGGACCCAACCATCTCCATAGTAAACTGGTAAATGTCAATTCACAAAAACTCGTAAGAAACGAGACGAGGACAGAATCACTACTTCAATGTTTTCATCATAACAAGCGTGTTATCTAGTGTTTGCCTTGTTAGATTAAACAACAACAAAAATGAAACCTTTTAGAATAATTTTTCACCCGAAAACTATATTACAGGGCCAATTCGTGACCAAAAAAAGAAGAGAAATCGGCATGTACAAAAATTCAAAATTATCTGTAAAATTGAAGTAATCGTTCTCAACTATTCAGTGTTACCTGGGGCTCATCGGGTTTGAGAGGATCGAGAGAGAAGACGACCTTGGCGACAGGCTGAGAATCAGAAGAAGAATCTACATGGTTCTTCCATGACTTGGCTACCACCACGGGACACTTCATTAGCCATACCGATCTATCAGCTTTTCCCATGTCTAGAAAGCCGTCGTTACCGTGTTCTTCGTCCATCTTCAAGGTTCTTGTTTCCTTCGATCTCTGTAAAAACTGTATGAAACTTTCTTATCCACGTTTCGCTTGTCGGAAGGAAGATTTGGGGAAGTTTACAGTTTCTTCGCTCGGTTTACTTTGTAGTTTCTCAGTGAATTAGACCCTAACATATCGGAGGGAGCGAATTCAGGAAACCGGGTTTCAGGGGGAAAGGACAGGTAACGTGTCCGTCTTTTCCTATGTTATGAGGTTGAGGTTAGACCTGCCCGGTGTTCCTTGGCTGGCTCTTCAACCCAAACTGATGTCTCATTTTCGGCCATCATGCGGTCTTTTGGCCCATTAGCCATTCTGATTTTTTATTTAGCCCATTTAGAATCCAGGTTTTTATATTAGGATCCACGATATTTTTACACTATTCATAAAAATCGTCACGTTGAAGTTGAAGTGATGAATTTCAAGAGAAATTTTTTTTATTTAAATTTATCACATCGAGATGACGAGTTCTAATAAAATATATTTTTATTAAATTTTATCATATCGATGTAAAAAATTTGAATAAAAAAAATTTAATAAAACTCGTCACATTGATGTGACGAGTTCCATACATTATAAAAAATATCGTAGATCCCAAATTAAAAATATATGTGCCCTATTTTGCAAAAAAAAAAAAAAAATCAGATTGTCCTATTGGACCAAAAAATGGCCATCATGTAGTTTGGAGAGTTAGAAATTCGAATTTAGTATTATAAATGAAGAAAATTATATTAAGATGGTCATTTAAAAATAACTTTATTTAATATTTTATTTAAATTAATAAATTAAAAATATCTATATATATATATATACTAAAAGGTTCACCGTAATCAATTACACAATGTGATTTAGAATTTAATATCTTTGAAATGAAATCAAAATTTCATGTATTACAAATAAAAATGTAATTAGCTGAGTGAGTTTTTTTTTCTGTTCAGAGTCCAACTTGGATGAGTATGGAATAGTAGCCAATGAAGTTAATATACTTTTAAGTAAAGTTCTGATTTCAAGTATATCAATGAAGAAACTAAATGTTGAGATATTTTTATCTTCGTTTAAAGTCATATACATATCAGTTTTATAATTTTTAAAAAATATCCTATCTATTCAAAATATATTTATGAGAAAATAACCTCAGTGACCAAAAATATCTTATAATATACGAATTTAACCAACTTTTTTTGGATTTGCCAAAATAACCAACAAATTTGCAACGCGAACTCCAATTTCACAACCCAGTTTCCAATTTCGCAACGCGAATATGTAAATCGCAATACAGAAGTCAAATTCGCAACGCGATAGTCAAATTCGCAACAAAAAAGTCAAATTCGCAACGCGAATTTGTAAATCGCAACACATAAGTCAAATTCGCAACGCGATAGTCAAATTCACAACGCAAAAGTCAAATGTTTTTACGCGAAACACAATATTAATTTCGCAACACAAATGTAAACAGTATTATCGCAAATCATCTCTAACCTAAAACCCTAAATCACAACTCAGTCCCATCTCCATCTCTCATTCTCTACGACGACATCCGTCCCCATCTCCGACGAAATCCGTCTATCTCCATCTCTCAGAGCAACCCTCACAACCATTCACGGTCAGAAATGGAAAATCAACCACCGAGGGTTAGTTTTTTTAATCTCTTATTTTTATTTTGAAATTTTTGTATTATTATTATATTTTTCTTATATTGATGATAAATTTACTGGTAATTTCAATATATATAGATTAACCATTTCACTGAGATTGCTTAGTAAATTCATTCGGTTGCTGCCAATACTGCTAAACTGCTTAGTATTTGTCTTTGTTTTGTCTTTTTGTTGAAAAAACCCTAAATCACAACACCAAAATCGCAACGAGAAAATGAAAATCGCAACGCGATTTTAGTTTCGCGTTGCGAATTTAAGTTTCAGAAACTTCTTTTATTTTGCAAATTGAAACTTGAATGAATTGTATTACTTCAACCAAAAAACAAAGACAAATACTAACTTCACAGTGTTGCTAATTTAAGTTTCAAGAATAAACTACTACTCTTTATGTTGTCCTTGAACCTGTACTAAACCTATATGTTGTCCTTTTAAATATTTATATAAGTGCTTACTTCTGGAATGTTATCTGATGCATTTTGTGAACTACGATGGAATAATGACTTGGTTGAATACCGTGCTAGTTTGAAACATATTTGGCTTTGTTTTCACTGTTTAATATCATGTCTGTTTATAGTGTATAATAAGGAGTTTTTGGTATATCTAACTGTATGTTTATTGTTTTTGTAGAAATTTTTTTCGGTTGCATTGAACTTAAGGAATAAATTAAGCCTAGCCACTAAAATTACGTCGACGCTTACACCTCTACAAAGAAAATTGTTTGAGGATACTTGTTTCGGGCCATGGCTGAAAGTGCAACATACGGGTAGAGATGCTATGTTGACACATTTGTTTCTTCAGACCATGACTAACGATCTACCCGAGGGGATACAACGTGGTGATGAGGAGATATGGTTTCATTTTCCTCCGGCACATACTTGTTTTGGGCGGGAGGAGTTTTGCTTAATCACTGGTCTACGCTTCAGACACGATGATGTAGGTCGGTACACTAGTCATATCGCCCGCCCTTCATGGTTATCTCGGGTTTTTCCTGAGCTGGCAAAGTCGAAGCCGAGTTTACACTTCGACGACTTGAAGAGATTATTTGATAAAGATGGTTTTACTCGGATGGATGACCTTGATGTTGTCCGAGTATGCCATTTATTACTTTTGCATGCCGGCTTTTTAGGCAAAGAGGGTAGATAACCTATCTCCGAGGACCTAATATTATTGGTAGAGGACCTAAATGCATGGAACATGTTTCCGTGGGGTTCATATCTATGGAAAGCTACTTGGAAGAAGTTGTCGTCTGCCTTTGAGGACTGAAAAAGTTTGCGGGGCGATGGTTCTAAATACACTTTGACAGGCTTTACTTGGGCCTTTAAGGTAAGAATTTCTATATAATGTTTCCAAAATTATAATTAATTATTTAACAATTACTAATGTTTGTGTATTATATTATTTGTAGATTTGGATATTTGAGGCTTTCCCCAGCATGCAGACATATGCGATAAAAAGATTAAATGATATTCCTAGCTATTACCTGGAAGAGGATCCACATGTTGGATTGGGAAGAGTTACTCCCATATTCGACGATGAATGATGTAAGTTAACACACAAATAATACCATATATAAACAAGTTATTACTAGTACAAGTTTAACTTTGTTTGAGCTTTTATATTGTTAGGAGGCCAACTATCCATTACAGAGGCTGACACCCACAGAGGTTGAGCTTGCCACTGATTGGTGGCGCGCTAGTAAGCGGTTTTTTGATGGGACGGATGATGAGTACCCCTTACTTCGAGAGCCATCACCTGATTAGGCTAATTCTACAGCTCGACACCCGGAGCCATCACCTGATCGAGCCTCTTCTCCACCTCCACCATCACCTATTCCATCACATCATCGAGCCTCTTCTCCACCATCACCTCATGATAGACGACCGAAAAAGAGGCCACGACATTTATCTCCCTGTTCTCCACCTCCACGGGATGAGTTAGGGGAATTACGTGATGAGGTCAGTGCTTTGCGTCATGAGGTCGGTACTTTACGTGAAGATAATAGTGCATGGCGTGATGATGTTCGATCTTTACGTGGTAAGGTAGATTTTTTACGCGATGACAATGGTACGCTACGCGGTGAGGTATCTACTTTACGTGATGAGGTTGCCGCTCTACGCGAGATTGTTTCATTGTTGCATAATGAGTTTCATTGTTGTAGAATGAGGTTCATACTCTATGCAATGAGGTAAATTTATTTAATACTATACTAAAAAAGCAAATAACCTTTTTTCGGCAGTATTTATTTATTTATTTACTGATTTATGTATTAATTTATTTTCAGCGGCCCGATAAGGTAGATGTTTTACGTCGAGTTTTTCTTACACGATGGGGTTCACGCATCAGATGTCGTGCACGTGCTATTACGTCTCCGTTCACCCCACTAGTGCCAAGATTCCGTAAGAATAAGCCCGATGCACCTATCATCATTCAAGAGGCGCCTCCTATCGTTCAAGAGGCCCTTCTCATCATCGAAGAAGCCCCTCCCACCGTTCAAGAGGCCCCTGTCATCGTTCAAGAGGTCCTGTCTGCCGTTCAAGAGCCCGATTCACATGGCGTCATAAGTCGACATATTGATAAACCCCCTCTCATGTCCGATATGATGGATGTGTGTTGGCTTTCGTATGTGCTACCGGCCAGTACCATTCCTCAGCAGGAGAGGGAAACACTACCGAAAATAATTATGGATAATACCCTTTGAGGTAAGGCTGCAGTTGATTTTTATCTACATGAGCGGAGCAAGGGGTGTTATTCTGACCTATGTCAAATCGACGATGCTATTCATTTGTTTCTTGAACGGTCTTGGTGGGGTATTTTATTAGGGGTTGAAGATAATGGCTATCTCGAAGGGGTGGTAAGTCTTATATTCTTCTTATATTGCATTTTGATTAATTTTTTTAAATTATTAATAAATTCACTAATATATTTATTTTTTTATAAAACAACATATTGATGCATGGGTGTCACCTCTTCTAATAATAAGGAAATTAAGGAAAAGAAATACTCGATGGACTATTATGCCGAAGTCTTTTCACGCAGCTCACTTGAAGGATCAGAGAGATTCTTCATATACATTGGGTAATGGAAAATCTAAACTTTATCCTGCGTGGTGGGAGGTCGATAAGGTTAGTATTTATTTTTTGAATATTTTAAAGGTTTTCATAAATTTTATTTGATGTGCGCAATTATTAATGATTGCAGGTGTTTATCCCTATTTTGGAACGTCGTCATTGGCTTCTCGTCGAGCTTCAGCTCCCATCCCTGAAGACAATGGTATATGACAACATGTTGAATTACATATCATTGTCTGATTTGAGAGATATTATTACAAAGGGATGGAGCGATCATTTGGCTAAATACTTGGATGCGATTGATTATTGGACAAATTCTGGAAACAAGAAGCCAAAGAAGTTCAAAATTACAATGATCAGATACGAGACTGCGCCACAATAAACGTTGGGAGCCAGAGGGGATTGTGGTCCTCTCGTATGCTTGTGCTTGGAACGTTTGACGACAGAAAGTAAACAGTATCTACCTCCTACAGA